AGGCAGGCAGAGCATAGTGGATTTTCCTTAGGACAGGTGGAGTTTTTCAGCTTCCTGGGAGTGGCTGCTGCTTTCCCAGAGATCCTAGTGGGGGAGAAGGCGGCACCAGCATTGAAACCAATAAACTCCCTCCAGCAATTTGACTTGCATGGTTTGACTAAGGACATCTAACTGTGAAAGGCTGTTTTATTTCCATTAATGCCCTCTCATGGCAGCAGGAAGGTGCTTCTTTGGTAGCTCCCTGTTGGGGGGAGGCGGAGCTGGGTTGGTGTTTGCAGAAGGGCAGAGAGTGAAGGGACTCAGAAAAGATGTGCAGGACTGAGGACTTGTGTTCTTTACTTGGCAGAGGGAGAGGGAGCAGCGAGGGCTGCAGCCTGCCCTTCCCAGCCTGGCTCCTGTGAGGGCTTGGGAGTTGAGCTCCTAGAAAAGGACACCCATGTGTCCTCCTGCTGTGGTCCCCATCCAGCTTGCTGTCAGACAGGCCGAGCTGGCAGGTTCACTGTTGCCTTTCTGCTCTGAGCTATCAGCCTCTGCTGGAGGGGAAATCGTCCCTTCCTAGGCCGATCGAGCATGAAGGAACATCGCTTCTACCGACCACAGCTCAGCAGCCAGGAGAAGGAGGGAGAAGTGTTCAACTCCTCTCTGTCAAGGCCTATAATTACAGGAGCCTCTGACTTCCTGCGCTTCTTGCAGGGTGAACACAAAGGCCATTGAGGAGACAAGTGGCTGAGTGAGGAAGCAGCTGGTTGACTTGTGCTGCCAGCGCCGGCCTCAGCCGAGGTGCTCGAGTTAGCGTGCTGCAATGTAATCAGGCGCTATTGAGCGGAGGCTGAATTGCAACTTGGCTGACTGCTGGCTGCTGTCGTTCCCATTCTTCTGGCAGCACCATCTGGAGGAACCCTCTTGGCCTAGAAATGAGGAGGAGAAGCTGCTGTGGCTCCTGCAGCTAGCGCAGCCACATGTGTCAGGCTACCTCTTTGTCTGCTGGTTCCTTTGCTGGTCTCCGCCGAGGCAGCCTCGCTAGATCACTGCCTGTGTCAGTGGCTGGCAGCGGAGGGGTTTCTGTCCCAAGATGTCAATCTGGAGACTTCGCTGAAGAGCTGCCACTTTACGTTTCTGAACTTCATTGTTCCTTTATCCCTGAATTTGGGCTGGTTTGGCTGCAACTGCATGAGGTCACACCAGTTTGGTCTCTGGGTGTTGTATGAGTAATGCAGCCCCCGGTGCAGGACCCAGATTCAGAGCGTTGCTGCCCCAGTTTGAGTCCTCAGCACCCCAGGATACACTGTCACAGTGCAGCTGGCGCTGCCACCAGACGGGCAGAGCCCTTCTCCCTCCTTCTTCTTCCGCACGCCACCATGAGCTGATGGTGGTTCAGGCCAGGTCACCAAACCAGAGACGTAGAGGTGGCCTGGGGCTCTCTGGGCAGTGAGGGGTTGGAAATGCTTCTGCGGGCTTGACCTGCGGGCTTTGTGTTCCTCAGGAGTCTCCCTCTTCAGTCTGGCTGCCCTGCTGCTCCCAGAACAGTTTCCCCACTACCTGGCCATGGTGAAGTCGCTGAGCCTGGGGCCCGCTCTCATCTACTCTGCTAAGTTCGCTCTGGCTTTCCCCTTCTCCTACCACACCTGGAATGGAGTCCGACACCTTGTGAGTAGCCTCCACAAGGGGCCAAGGGTGTGAGGGAAGGGAAGCATCTGGCTGCGGGAGCGCCAGGTGCGGCGTCTGGGAAGGTGCCCTTGGAAATGGGAATTAGTCACCTCGAGTGCTTCAGAACCTCAGTGCTATTTTTGGGTACATTTAAGTTGCAAAGAGCATTGCTACGCTGCTACTTCACCGGGCGGCACAGCTGGCTGAAGCATCCCACCGCGTCTGCTCGGCTGCAGGAGATGGACGAGGCGTGGCGGGAGCAGTGTTACAGCCAGGAGATGTGTCTGCAGAGCTGTGGGTGTGAGCCCTGCAGAGGTGCCACCCATTGCTCGTTATCTCACTCTCATCATGCAGCCGTTGCGCTGTGATCTTCCAATGCTTTATAATATTTAATGAGCCCAGATGTGTGGCAGAGGATTGGAGATGGCGCTGCCAGCGCAGAGAGTAACCTGTGATGTTTGCACTGGGCTGAAGTGAGGAACAAGCAGCTCCGTTCAGCTGAGCTTCCTGTGTTTGATGAAGAGAGCTGAGAGTTTCTTGCTGGGAACAGTACAAGATGTGCTGCTTTTTGAGGTTGATTTTGTGTTTTCTGTAGCTCCAAATAGGTTAGGTTTTACGGGAGCAAATTGCAAAGGCAGCTGGCCCAGAGCATGACACGATCCTTCTGCTCTGGGTGGGGGGAGCATCACGTGTGGAGCCGTGCTGCGGGTGCTGATGGCTCCCAGTGTTTTCAGCATGGAAACACGAGACTCAAGCACTTTTCGATGTTGTATCCTCTACCCGGGAGCAGCCATTAACAAGGCGCTCATGTCAGAGTGCTGGGAGGCGCCTGGCTGAGCTGTTGTGGTGAGCAACAGCCATGTGCTGTGAGAGGAGCCCCCTCTGTGGGTCCTTGGGGCAGGTGCTCACTGGCTGGCAGTGCTGTGAGCGCTCATTACCTGCTTTTCAAGTACTTGGCCTCGGACAAGGTCTTGGGGCATGGGGCCTGCAGCTGGCTGAGCCCTGCTCGCTCATGGAGACGCTGTTGGGCAAATGGAGCAGTCATAACTGGCTGCTTGTTCAGAGCGTCATGAGTCGAATGTGTGCTGAAGTCTCTGACTGCACGTATATATTAGGATGCCAATTAAATTGTCTTGAGAAGGAAACCAGCAGCACTGGCCCCTGGCTGTGTTCAGCAGTGCAGCCCATCAGTGACAGAAGGGGAGTCAACAGGGAGCAGGTTCAGTTTAGTGCCTCTGCCCCAGATGCTTCTCTGCTTTGAGCCCTGGATCTTGGTGGCAGGCTGGGAGGAGGCGTGTGCTCCCCAGGCTGCCCTCAGCCATCCCACTTTTGCTTGGCCAAAGTCAGGTGAGAGGTGCAAACCCACCTGCGATACCAGGGAACCGAGGACACCCACCTCCAGGGTACCATTCCAGCATCCCTCCCTGCCATCTGGGCTCAGCCTGGCCTCCACAGCTCACACCATACCCAGGGGCATACACAGAGGGGCTGGGGGCTGAGGCTCATCCCCGCCTGCTCGGCTCTGCCCATGGGGATATTGGTGCTGCCTCAGATCTGCAGCTTGCGCTGTGCTTTATAACCTATTTCTGTCAGGAGGAGAGAAGCAAGCAGAGAGCAGCTGCTGCTTTTGAAGTGAACCTGGCGCGCTGCGGCTGTTGGGCATTAGGGAGAGCTCACAGGCGGCTTTGCTGATAGGTGTGGGGGCCTGGTGGGGGATAAGCTTCCTCTGGCACGGTGCACATGTGCCTGCACCCAGGGAGACCCCTGCCTGTTGCCCTGCACCGATGGACGCTTGTAGCCCTCTCTCCAGTCTGTACCTGGTGGTCCAAAGGTTGTTTTTTGGGGTGGTCTTGCTAGCTTTTATCAGAAAGATGGTGCCTTTCTGCCTGTATCCGGCACATCCCCCGTCAGGGACCATCCCAGCCCTGTTGAATTAACCCTGCTGTGTCTCTTCTCTCCCGCAGGCATGGGACATGGGGAAGGGGTTCAAGATCCCCCAGGTCAACCAGTCTGGGGTGCTGGTCCTGATCTTGACCCTGCTTTCCTCCGCGGGCCTTGCAGCAATGTGAAGGTACCTCCTGGTTGATGGCCTCCCTTTTTTTTTTTTTTTGGAAGATTTGCTCCGTCCTGGCCCACCTCAAGACACGCGTGGAGAGGGAGGCAGGAGGATAGGCTCCTGAGTAACTACAAATCTTTGGGGAAGGTGGTGCTTCCCCTCCTTGCAAATCTCGTGGATGATCAGAGTTGCTTTTCATAAGCCTGGGTGATGTGCTAGCCCCCTCTTAGTGGTGGGGGGTAGAGGGCAGGCTGTCTCCTGCTGTGCCATACACCCGAGCAGCCACAGAAAGCCAGGCACAAATTGACAGCCAGTCCTGGCACGTTCGGTCGCTCACAGAGAGCTGCCTAGCTTCTTCCAGGCAAACTCCGGGGCGTTTCTTTTCTCTGCTCTGTCCCCAAGCTTGAGACAATGCTGAATCTGTGTCCCCGCAGGTCCGAGTGGGCTTGGGGACGGCTGGTTGTGCATGTGTAGGCCCAGCACAGGACAAGCATCTCCATTGAGGCAGCCTGTGCCAGGGCAGGGAGAGCAGGCGGAGCTGCCAACGCCAGCACCCGTGAGGGGAATGGGTGATCGGTGGTGTCCAGGTGCCATACTGGCCATGGGACTCTGTACTTTCTGAGCCCAGCAGCATGAGCCAGCTGGGATGGGGTGCTCAGACCTGCAAAGGTTCAACCCCCCACTCCTTATCCTTGACTGTCACAATTCAGCCAGCTTTGGGGCTCTGGAGCCCCTGCCAGTGAAAAATGTCCAATTTTCCCGTTAGGAAGTTACTCTGTCTCTGGCACAGTGGGAGGGACATGGTTTTCCAGTTGTGTGTTGCCACCAGCTCTCGTTTCAGCACTTGTCACTCGTCTGTCTTTGCAATAAAGCAGCCTTGATCCTTCACACTGAACCACTGAGTTTGTTGTCTGTGCTTGACGCTTAACTGAGGCAAAGTTGGCTGGGAAGGGGTGTTTTGCTTTGAGAGCCAAGGAGTTGCCACTTCCCAGAGGAGCTGGGTGATGGAAAAACAAACTCTTGGCAGCATTTAGAGGCAGGTGTAGTGCCTGACCTTTGGAGCTGGGGGTGCAGGGTTGACTTGTCTGTGAAATGCTGCCAGCTCAGCAGAAAGGAATTTCCTACCTGGACTGCGGTTGTTTGTGCTGGTACAAACACCTGCGCGAGGTCCAGGAGCTTTTGCTCAAATTGGCCAATTTTCAACATTTTCCACTGGGAGCAAAGCTTTGCAAAGAGGACAGTCCCCATCAGGAGCTTTGTCCCACTTTCCTGCCCCAGCGAGGGTCTTGGCTCTGTTTCAGGAAGAATCCTTGCTCACATCATCAGCTGGCAAAACGTCAGCTTTATGGGGAACATCTCTCCTCATTGGGCTTTTGATGGAGACCTGAAGTGGCAGGAGGGGAGCTGGTCCAATAACGTGCTGCAACATCCCTCACACTGGCCAGGCTTGTTTCCATGTGACTGCTTTTACTTCCACCACTGATCCGAGCCCTGTCCTTCCCGCTCACTCAGCTCCTCTTTGTGCCTGCTGGACCTAACAAATCTGCCACTCCTTTAATTAGCAGAAGGCACTGCAGCCCTGAGGGGATGTGGAACCTCAGAGATGAGAAATCATGAAGGAGGAAAAACTGTCTGCTGTCAGCGTAGCAGAGGGAGAAGACTTACTGCTGAATCCCGTTTGGTGTAGCCGCATGTCCCAGCAGGAGAGAGCTTCTCCTGGGTGAAAATGAATGTATTTTAGCTTTAAACCAATTACTTCCTGCAGTTGCTGAAATGGCTTTTATTTGGAACCCACTTCTGCTCACTAATGAGCTATTCTGTGGTGTATGCCAGCTGCTAACAAAGTTAGACTTTGCTGCGTCTGTCAGCTGTGCTTCACAGACTTTATTTCCCTTTTGTGAGCAGTGGCAGGGGGCTGGCAGCACTGCCCCATGGCTGGGGCAGATGGGAAACAACACCAGACCTGCCTGCCCCCCCGCAAGAGACCAGTAAAGGAGTGGATGAAACTAGCCTGCAATGGCAGGGTTTCTGCTGCTCGGCTTGGGGAGAGGCCGGGTGAGCCGTGCGTGGCTCCAGTCCTCTGGCTGGTCCCATGCTTCCAGCATGAGATGCTATTAAATGGGAAGAGCTGAGATACAACCAGAGAGGGCACCACATCCAACACAGAAGCACCGCGCAGACTCACACAGCCTGGACTGGTCTGGGGCTCTGCCCTGAGCTACTGAAACCAAACACAAGGATTTATTTTTCTTTAAACCTCTATTTTTCCAATTGCCACGAAAGCACAAGTGCAGGCCATGTGGTCTCCCAGTGTCAGCCTCACTCAGGCTTCTTTGACGCATTCCCCTTCCTCACCCTTGGGGGTAGGAAGGTGTTTTCTGTTGGTATGCACGTCCAAAGGGGTGGATGGTTGGCAGGAGAGGCTGGGAGCAGCTGGGGAGGGGAAGGGAGGGGAGCAAAGCCAGCTCACAGCACAGTGCGAGATGGCTGCCTGGCTCTTGCATCTGCAGTGCTTCCTCCAGGACTGGCCTCTCCCCATCCCGCACAAGGTGATGCCCTGAGCCTGGGGGATCTGCCCCCCTGCGGCTCAGCTTCTGCGGAGCCCCCCTGGCTGGGAGCGCAGACCTGTGGCAGGGTGGCTTGCCGAGGGCTGGCCTCCCTCAGAGCAGGGTGGATCAAGGCTGGGATTTTGGGCAAGCCGGCGTCCCCGTGTCGGAGGTCTGTCACAGCAGACTGGTGGGAGTGTGGGGTCTGTCCCTCATGTTTGGCCTGCCGGGAGCAAGGCTGGCGTGCAGCTGGGGGTTCTGGGGACGCGTTTGCCTTCAGCCGGACCTCTGTGCAGCTGGGCTTGTGGGAGAGCAATGCCGCAGCTCCTGCTCCTGGGCCAGGTGGCTCCTCTAGCGGTGCCCCGGGTGGGGGCCCAGCAGGCTGGATACCCTGGCTGGATGACTGACTGCTCCTTTGGGAAGGTTCCTTGGCAGTTTGTGTGTCCGACCAAGGCTCCTGGGGCTGCGGAAGGGAGACGTGTGCTATGCTCGTGGTGCAAAGATGGGGATGGGGGGCAGTGGGAGAAGGGGGCAGTGACTGGACCGGACAGAAATGCTGGGGCAGGTGGGTCTGGGCCAGCCCCCGCTGCTGTGGAGGGGTTCGCTGCAGGGCCAGGCTCTGTGCTGGGCTCACCCAAGCACTTGGGGCAGGGGCTGGTCTGCCCGGGGACAAGGTGCTGTTGCTGCAGTCCCCAGCGAAAAGCAGGGAGTGGAAAAGGAGTGCTGGGAGGTCCAGGAACCCCTCCACATCAGGGCAGTCCCTATTCTTGGATGCTTTTCTATGGGAGGAGAGCGGTGGCTTGTGAGCTCCTCCTGCCGGCGCTGCATCAGCCACGGCGGCCCAGGCACCCTGCCTGCAGTGGAGCCTGGATTTGGGGTGAAGCGGAGGGAGCCCCATCCTGAGAGCAAGGGGAGGTGGTGGCCCAAGCATTGGGCACTGCCTCGTTGTACAAAACACCCCTGAAATCTGCTCATGGGCCATCGCCAGCCCTAGAAACCCTCTCCCAGAATTCGCCTCCTGCAGCGCAGGGACCACCGTGATTTGCACCAGCTCATGAAGCCACCCTTGGAGATGTCTGTGGGCCACACTGGAGCCCCAATGGGCTCCTACCTTCCCGGTGATCTCCGTCCAGAGGCCATTGCAGGCGTGGGTCAGGGCAGTGGGCTGGCGGATCCTGTCCATGAGCTGCACGGCAGCAGTGGCCGACCGGGAGGTCAGGTCCAGCCTGGCTGGGGGAATCCTTGGCGGCATGTCCCAGGTCCCCACAAATGTGCCCCATGGGGAGGCCTAAGAGGAAGAGGGGGAGGGGAGGGTGTTGGGGCTCCAGGGAGCCCCGGTGCAGGCTGAGGGGCAGGAGGAGTCACCTCCAGCCCCCCACAGGTGCCCGTGGATCTGGCTCACCTGGGAGCGGGGCACAGTGGGGAGCAGGTGCCCCCGGTCATCCGCGATGATCAGCGTGGAGCCCTCCCGCAGCAAGGGGCGCTGCGGGAGCAGGGGGTGGAAATATGGCCAGGAGTCCTGGGGGGTGGGGTCCAGTCTGGGGTT